ATATTACCAGCAATACATTTTTGAAAAAAATATCTACCAGTAGTACATTTTTGAAAAAAAAATAATAACGATAAATTTTTGAAACAAAAAAATTACCAGCCATACATTTTTGAAAAAAAAAATATTACCAGCAATACATTAAAAAAAAATTACCAGCAATGAAAATCTTGTTGGCATTAAATAACCCATTGAGGTTGACATGCCATAAAACAAACCAAATCAAATCAAACCAAGCAAAACAATTGAAAGACATTTTAGGATTTTGCGATGTAAATAATTAGAAAAGTGTATCGAAGTTGGTAGTACTTCTCTAATGATGGTTGGTTAGTCAAACATGCGATGGATCATGGTTGGTGACTGGGGAACGAAATGGCATACAAACGAAACTGAATGAGAAATGCTTTAAATAAGGCGACTGAATTTAATTAAACTTGACTTTGTTTTCATTTCTAATGCTGAAAAATCTAATGGGGTGAATCTGTCGCATTTATATAACTTACGTAAATTTTCGTCTTCGATTACAAAGCGGTAAAATTATCATTAGATATTCTAATAACAGCATTCAGTGCTTTCCAAAAATGTTTACTCACACGACCTCTTCCACTCTAACCACGTTGGGAAATATGAAAGTTGGCTTAAATGGCCACTCTTCTAGATCTTTTTCCATTAATACACTAATCCCTTAAGAGCCTATCTTTGGACCTACATTGTTCCTAATAATAATCCACAACTTTCATCAGTTCTCAACTCTGTATCTATGCCGATGACACAAGTATCTGATCCTCTCTTAATATTATGTCTAATAGGTTTGATGAAGTTATATTGTCAGCGAAAATGGCCTCCAATCAGTTGAGAACTGGGGCAAGAAATGACTTGTAAATTTTAATGTCTCCAAAATGAAACTGCTCTCTTTTAATCGAATAAGAGGGCCTTTTTTTTCTTTCTGTCCTCAGCATGGCTGATGCTACCCACTAGTAATATAAGTCATTGCTCCTTCTTTGTCTTACGTTTTTCCACTGACATGAAATGGAATGATTTTATTTAATCCGTTGCTAGGTCTGCTACTAAGAAAATTGATTCACTGTGTCGTGCTAGATAATTTTTCTCGTCAGACTATATCTTCCATATTTATAAGCATCGAATATTGCTGTCATGTCTGGTCTGTTGATGCTGTTATGCATGTAGGTATTCTTGAAAGAAGAATAGAAAGAAGAATCCGAAATGTTATTAGTTCCTAGCTGTTTCCCGAGACGTGACTCATCTGGGGATCCTCTCTTCCCGGAGGCAGAGAGTTTGACCAGCACAGCTGGAGACGAATCTCCAACTGCAGGATATTTACCAACCGCTTCACGCGGTTAGATGTGGCACAAGGCCAAATTTAATGTGGGGTATCCGAGCCCGTAAGCCCGGCCAAAAATTCCCCGTATTAAACTGTAACTGTTTCCCGAGACGAGACAAAGCCTCGTCTGGGGATTCTCTCTGTTCGGAGGCAGAGAGTTTGACTAAAACAGCTGGAGACGAAGCTCCAACTGCAGACCAACATACAGTATTTACTACTGTATTTATGTGAATGGA